TGTTTTTGGTTTCCACCAACTCCTTCAGCTGCTAAATGGTCCACTGTGTCTGTCTGTCTGTTTTTAGAGCTTCTTCACTAAAAAAAAACAAACAGCTGCCTGTTGCTGATAGAAATGGCAGAAAGAGAGGGAAGAGAGTTAAGAGGAAGGGTAAGGTTGTGGGTCATGAAACCAAAACAGTCAGGTGGTAAATGTCACCAAAAGTACTCACTCTGTTAATATACAGTACAACTATTGATTATAGCCTCTTTAATGATGTCTAATCCAGTCTAAATTACAAGTTAGATTTAAAAAGTCATTTCTTCAAAGATTACATTAATATTATTGTTACTTTAAGTCCTTTCGGTTCCTCCCATACTGCCCAGGTCTAGCAGTTCGCTGTACAGAGCTCAAATTGAGCGATGGAATTAATGTGCACACTTGAGTCATGGGCCGGGGTGGATTCTGTGTTTGTTTCCCCATCAAGCTGGAAAATTAAGTATCATTAAAACTGTTACACAGTTTTGCCTTCAGCTCAGACTGAAAGGATTCAGTTTGTCTTGAAGCTAACCAGATCCACCCCATAGCTAAACAAACTAGGTTATACCACTCAGGCACTTATAAGGAAGTGCATTATAAAGGCACGCTCACTGTCTGGAGAGCCTGCAACCTAAGAACAGGGGGCAGGGGCCGAATCTGGCCTATCAAAATAAGATCAAGTATTTGGTCACAATTCATTTGAAAAAAAGTTTTAAAACGGATTTATTCCCTCATCTTCCTGAAACTGTTAAACTAGTCCATCAAAATTGTACAAAATATACTAATTTCCTACATAGTGGTGCAGATTTGTCCTTTAAGAAAACACTGCCAAACACTTAATGCTATGTGTGTGTAGGGAAACTTTTGATCTTTTTAAGATAAAACCCAGGTAAAGATCCAGATACTGTAACTTTTTCCTCACGTTAGGTGTTGGACTTCTCGGTCTGGTGTTACATTATTGAGTTAAGGATGTGTGTGTATGGAAGTACACACACACACTCACACACTTCACCCTTTAAGTATTGTAAGTGACTGGACAGGAAACCCTTTCCGTCCCAAATGAAAGGGCTCAGTCATGACGCCTCAGAGAGGAATGGGGAGCACACACACACACAACCAAAAAAAAACAAAAAAACAACTATACAAAATAACTTTTGTAAGCACTTTTGTGTTGAAAAGTCAAATTTAACATTCTGATGATGGGAACTTCATAGTGCGCATCAATTATTCAATAATATTCCATCAATAAAATGAACATTGTGTAGCATCACCTAAGATAACATATGGCAATATTTCCATTATATATCCTTATTCATAGTCTTTGTTTTTTTAGTGGTAACAAAAATAATGCTCCGAAATTAGAGAGAAATGCCAAAAAACACACTAATTTCAACTATATTTAAAATATACTGGCAGATGTGTACTGTCAATGTATTTCAAATGAAAAGAGGGCTAAATAAATGTCAAACTAATAACTTATTAGTATGTTCAATGAGTAAAGTAATTGCTTTTAACCCAGTGTGATGAATTCCACCATCACCTGCAGAGATGCACTCAGTGAGCTGTTACACATATGAAGGTCTAGTCTGTTTCACAGCTCACCTGAACTGAAACTTTTGGTTACCAGCCTGTCAAATGTCTACGTTACTATCTGAAACCAGTGCTGCAAGGCACATGGCGGCCGATACTACAAACATATTCATTAATTCATATGAATTATAGTGTTAATATTAGAAGATAGAATACAAACACTGGGTGAGTTAGTTGCCGTGTTGCGTTAGCTCGCTATTTGGCCGCTGTAACGTTATTCCCTCTGCGGCTGTCTGGCAGGTTCCATGACAGCCACAAATAAAAAATCTCGACAGCATGAAAATAAAAAGCATTCTGTGTGAATTATTTTTCACCTACCTCCGTGTCCTGCTCCAGAGTCAATTATTGGCTTGCCGCCACCCCACGACCCAGTAGAAAGAAATATATTGTGTGTTTCCCCCCCTATTTTCTGCCTAATATTTAGGCAGTTGAAGGCTAGAGGCTCCAGTTATTGGCCACCCTTCAGAGGAACTTCTCAGGCTGCACAGTAAACATCGCCGATATTAACGCCAAATCATAACAAAAGTCCCCTGACGTTGCCAGCAACCTAACCTGAAATAATTTAAAAATATTTTACGGTCTTCATTTGTACCCCTTGACCTCAAAATGCCGCGCTTCGTCCGTCTTTATCGCTATAAAATATGAAATAAGCAGCGCTGCTTCCTGGGACCGTCGGGCTCATCAGACGCTCCGGCCACGCAACGGCGTCGTATTTGAGTGACATTAGGATGAACCAATCAGCGATAAGGAAAATGATCCGTGGTTTTCGTTGGCCAATCATATGCGGAATATACACTTGAATGACATACGCATCAGCCAATGAGAAGATCTGAACCGCCCTGCAATGGTTGTGCTCCAGGACGCAGGTTCATTAGGCTAGCAAGCGTTTGTAGCTATGAAAAAATATACTGTAGCTACAGTAGTTGTAAGCTCTGTTACATAATTTTATTGGTCAGTGCATGCCCTTATTAAAGGAAAAATATTATTGTGATTATTTTTAGAACGATTTTACACAGACAACACTGAAATAATTTGTTCCTTCACACATAAATAGCAAGTGGCAAATAAACTACAGGAGGGTATCTAAGGTCAATAAAAGGTCACATATGATCAAACCTACTAATTACAGGTTTTGAATTTCTATAGTTGACAAAGAGACATTTACTGAAAAAAAAAACATATAAGAATCATATTATTATATTGAAATATCACTACTTGACTATACATGACAGCAAAAATGTAATCTATACCCCATGGACTGCTTTCACCTACTGACAACATAGGAGATAAAATGCCATAAAGTATGATAAGATAAATATAATATGATAGAGGGGCCAGACAGGCAGCTTTAGTCTAGGAATATATAGAAGATATAGATCTAATGCAAGATCAGAGACCATTGTTTAAACGGGACAGTGCAGATTGTTTTCACATGACATTACAATTTGGAAAATAGAGGGTGCTTTGTATTTACCCCGTCTGAAACATTTCATTTCCTTGTTCACTTATTAAAGGTCTATAGTTCAAAGAACAAGTGTATGCAGTAAAAAAGTGTCCTGATTACTACTGAAAAATGCAGATAACAAAACTGTAACACCAACGACAAACTTTTGTTGACCAAAACACAGCGTAGAGCAGTCCAGGCTGGTAGTTGAAGCATCCCTGCCATAAATCTCCTTATTTGGACAGGCTGAGTACTTTTACTGTTAGGGCCATGATGTCAACATACACAGAGGTGGGTGTACCCTGCTAACACGTCTGGGTGTGGTGTCCAGCAGACAAGGCTGTTTTTATATTTCTCACATCAATGGAGCCCACTGAGCTGTGACGCAGCCCCTATATTTAGATTTGGGATATAAACTCTCTGGCCTGCAGCCTATGCTTCGCAAAGTTCAGTGTGAAACAGACTGAGCCTCATTTGTAATGAAACCGAGACGGCACATGTGTGGAAACATTATTTATTGGATTGTCCAAATCATCTTGTTTTAAATCATCTAATCACTACCCGGGTCCTCTCAGGCTGCTTGGGCTTTAGAAAAAAAGATACATACAAAAAAAGTCTTCCTCTTATCTTTAGAGACTTCATAAAAAGGGTGATAAGAGCTTTTGATGTCATAGAAACACATAATGTGGCAGCTTATGCAATTCAAGTGCCACCGTTTCCCCCGCAAAAAGCACAAAACACACCCCGAGAACTCATCTTCAATGTGTTTCTGATCTTCCTTGCCTTGCGGAATTTTCTGATTTCTCATACTGAATCTTTCATTTTCTAAGTTTCTCTTCCCTACACAACATGCTATTCTTATCTTACTTATGAAATTGTCTCAGACATCATGAAATATACTTAAACCACAGCTCAGTTCCTAAAAACATTAGACATTTTCAGGAAATTGTGTTCTATTTCAGATGTTTTGCTGATGCTCCCGTTTAGATTGACAGAGAACAGCGAGTCATCCTTCCTTAAAAAGTGTGGTCATACTAATGAGATCATTCCAACAAAAGCACTGAGAGCGTCAAGGTTTTAGCACTCATATTTTCTGCTACATCATGATTTATCATGATTATGATTATTTTAAATATGGGCCGTAGTACCATGATACACACACCTGATCAATTTCGGGCTGATACAGAATAAGGCACCATAAATGTTTATGTTAAAGGACTGAAAAAGACTACAGTCCAGGCATTACAAAGAAATATGAGCTTGTGAGCACTGCAACAATAAAAATCCTCCATGCTCTGGAGAAAAGTGCTTGTTCTTATTGTCTTCCAATAAAACGATACAATTAGTTAGAATAAATAAAAAACCCAAATACTTTGTTCAAACTTTATTAAAAACAAAAAAAAGACTCATCAGTTGTGGAGTTGCAGTGAGCTGAGCAGTTTTGTGTTGGTTGAGTGAAGATACTCAAAAATGAGAATTTCAATCATTTCATTCATAAATATCTACAAAAACAGACGTCATCAATTTACAACATATACATAAAACATAAAAAAACATGACAGGGTGACACATTTAGATCAGAGCCTTCTGGACTATAAAGAATATTTTCTTTCAGCAGAATGGTCCACACACAGACCAGTGTGTATGTGACAACGTCTTCTTGTACTCTTTTCCAACGGGTACCTAATGCCAATGTTCTGTGTGACAATAACACTGTAATTAAGCAACCAAATGATGTTTCAATGACTGTATGGCATCTCACATTTCCTTTATAGACAGATTCAGCATATTTGCGTGTTTTGAGGCTTGCAGCTGATGTTTGAGGGTTAACAGAAAGAGTGAAAATGAGAGGGAAATGACTGAAAATTGTCCAGAACTGCATCATGTTTGTTGTGGGGTCAGGATTCAGCCGGTGAAGGGTGGCTCGGTGCTCCGTTGCGGGTGCGGAGCTGAGACTGGGCGATGTCAGCCAGGGCGCTCTGGATCTTTTCCAGCAGCTTGTCGCCGCGGTAAACCACCTCCTCGAGACGAGCTGCTGCCTCATGGTTCTCCTCCTCCAGCTGCCGTAGACTGGCCGCCTGACGAGGGGTCACAGTCAGTCAGATTCATTTACAATGAAAGATGACGGTATTGTGCATCAAATGAGTGTATTTTTATTTATTTATGATGACTGTGACCTTCAGCTCTTACACCAAACCAAAAACTTCCTTTGTTCAAATTATTTATGACAGAAGGTTCGGTGATTGATGACTCCTTCCCTCTCCCTAACTTGCCTGATGCACTTGTCACATTAATAGCCAAACTATATAAAGAGCTACAACATAGAAAAACAACTGTTATTGTGCTGTTAAGACAAATGCCAGTTACTTACACTTGACTGGTGGCTCAGAGAAAAGAAAAATCCAACGGATGTAAGGGAAGTGATTCACAGGTGTGCTCAGTCTCTTGGGATGTTCGTGTGCAGCTGATACTTTCACTTATTAAATACTGTATTGACACAGTTATTAATAACCAATAACGTAAAACTTCAATTAAAAGCAGGGTCCCAAATAGACGCAGGTCTCCTATAACAGTCTGGTGTGGCTACACGTTTTGACAAATAAACACAGGTCTCAAATCCAGACGCCTGGTCTGGATTTTATAGAAACTCTTTGGATGTATAAAACCTCTTAAAGTCCACCAGGTCGCCTGCTTGAGTGAGTTTCAAGCTGCGTAGATCTCAGTTCATATTACATAAACCACAGGCAGTATCAAATGAATGATTTGTAATATTCATACTGGTTAAAATAAACAATATGATAGTAGTGAGCAAGAGTTTTGTATAAAAGGAATTAAAGGCCTATCCCATATGGATGCCTGTTCCAAATATAGTAGCTATTTATGAGCAGAAGTTATTTTCAGATATTGTTGCGGGTCTTTTACATTTTCCGTCAAATTTGCCTAAAACAACACATACCTTTAATGTTATATTGCAAAATCATACGATCTACATAGGCTTTACATATACGCAGCCCTTTACTAGTTTGAACAGAAAGAGTGAATTTACAGCACATCAGTTAATGGGCAAGTTTCAAGGTGGCAAGACTGTTTATTTGTGCCATTAAAGTCTTAAAGGCCTTTTGACATGTCACATCAGGAAATGCACAGGTGTAAATGATACAATTATTGATGGCTGAATTCCATTTGGCTGCTTTATTGTTTATGCTGGCTCACTGTTGCACTGTCATGACATCATTAATGTTATTTAGCAACACGTGTGCTTCGCCTATTACAACAAGTTACAATGTCCTGTTGGATTGACACCATCTCTACTGGATGCCTTATTAAGTCACCAAACACCATACTGTGTCATGCTTTCATGTTACGTGTGACAAGAAAGAGAATTTTTGATTACCATTATTATTCAATATATTGTACTATTTTTGTGGTATAGTCTATATTACACACCTGTACTTACCCTCTGTATATATAGATTCACTGTACAGTTATTTGTAGCACTCCTGTCATTCAAAACCAATGAGGCTCCTTTCTACACCAATACAAACTTCCCACTGGGATTAATACAGTACTCCACCATTCTCATCCCATTCTTAACTTCTGAGTGATGAAAACTAAATTTACTTACTTACAAAACTTTAGAATCAGAGTCATCCTCATCATTGTATACTGATAAAATGATGTTCTGGAGACTGTGGATGTACGTTGTAACTCTAGCCGTAACATTGAATCTACTGAATAAAACAGTGCTCAGAAATACATTTAGCAGTCATACTCTATATCCTAACAGTCATTCCAGATATACATCACTTACTCTCTCATATCACTTACATGCCCTACACGGATGGTTTGAGTTCATATAATATAACCTTCGAATTTCAGGAAAGGAATAAACTCAGAAATAGCAGCAACCTTCCCTCTCTCTTTCCACTGTAGACAAAATAAGAAATTCAATTTCAGAGCTCATCAGAAACTCTCATTTGCCCATCAACAACAGCCGTTCATTTTCAGAACCCCAAAACACTTACAGTTGATCGGAGTACAGTATATAGTAAACTGATTTATTAGTTTCAGAAATTAAAAAAAATGTGTATTGAAGAATATATTAGAAGCTAGAAGGGCAATAAAATAGACTACAATCACTTGGCTGTTTGCTTTATACCCATCAGCATGCATCATTTTCTTTTTCAGAGTCTTGAGCCGTCAAAGCAGAAAGCAGCTGTTCACCTGGCTCCCTCTGCTGACTAAAAGCTAGAAATACTAACTGGGCTCCTGTCTGTGTTTATCCCATTTTAAGCAGGGAACTCGTAACTGCAATGCGTGTCTGAAAGGTACTTCCACGTGAATGTGCTGACCTGCAGAGCTGCCGTGGACTCCTCGCTGGGGAGAGAGTCGATTAGTACGTCCACATCTTTGGCTGTTCTGGCGATCAGGGCTGCAAATAGCTGGGCATATTCTAGATAGAGACAAACAATTGGATCCTAATGTTAAAAGAAAATAAAGCATTCTCTGTCTTGTGGGTTAGCAGATTATCCAACAGTTAAGACAGATAATATTAAGATACAAGGATGTACAATGGAAACAGACTAAAGATTTTCAGTGTTTACATAAAGAAATGTACACAAGGGATGTAACAATGTATTTTCTCATGCAACACTACCTAAAGATACAGTATTGTAGCTGCGCTGTGGTTTTCTATTAGTATCGCCAAGGAATCTGCAATGATTCAGAGGTGATCCAGGCTAAGGGTATTGCCCAATACTGATGTACTGAAACTAATGGGGCTAATTCTTCTAAGGTGTATGGCCACATGTAACATCAGCTCTTGACTATCAGTTGCAAATGTATACAATTATATTCTTTAAGTCTGACATTTTTAGGTATTGTTTATAAAATTGTGTTGTTGAAAATGATACCTGTGACTGGGATATTGTGTTATCATGGATAAGTACCCCATCAGTTTACTAAGGTCAATATTGGATTGATAACTTACATCAATGTAAACCAGAAAGTGTTGAGAGACAATAGATAAATATTATATGAGAAAATAGAGAGGCAAATCCCAAAGATGAGGGATTAAAGGTTTAAAATAAGAACTAATAAACCACCTTCGGTTGGGTTTGCTGGCTGATCTTTGTTGATGGCCGTCTGGATGTTACTGAAGGAGGCTGGAGGCGCACATTGCTGCAGGACGCCGATGGCATTACAAAACTGATCTGCAAGCTGGACACAAAACAAACACCATCGATCTCAATGTTACACTTTCATTCAAGCAGGAAGCTAATTGTGGACGCTGCTAGTCAGTTTTCTACATAATAACTATGAGTCACTTCGTAGTTCCAATGTTTTAAGAGTGCAGCACCTACATGTAAATGTAAAATGCAAACAGTAGCAAATGTTTCTGTGTTCAACATAACCTCAAGCTGGAGTTGTCGGCTGATAACGTTACAGGCCCCAACCCGGTGATGTAGCAATGTTAACAGGTTAGTGGAGAAAACTGGACTACTGCCATTAGCTACCACCTTCAAGTGATATATATACGCTCAAATATATAGTTATTTTGGTTCGCTATTGTTTAAAAACCACCCAAATCTTCATTACCGAATTGACAGCGTCTTGGAGCTGTGTTAGCCTGTCCGCCATGTTTTCTGTGATTTAACAAAATCGCGCGAGAATTCCCTGATATGATAAGATCTCGCGGGATTGGACGTGATTTTGGAAGCCTTGTTTTGCATATTATCGTAAAGGGTTAGCTGTAGCCACTTCACTCATCTGGAGACTGACTTTACACCAAACGAGTAGACACAGACACACAGATTGTGTTTTACAGAGGAGCAGTGCTGCATCAGAAGCTCTTCTTGTTGCTCCTCGATGGGGACAAAGTAGCCTGGAGCTAATGTTAGCTACTAACATCAACAGGAAGTAGCGGACGAGCTAAATTCCAATGGCTTGCACTTTGAGTTCTCCAGGTACAGCAGTCTATTAACTTTACTTAACCGATTTCATAACGCTGGTGAGGAAGAACTATTCTGAATGACAGTCGACCAGTTTAACGAGCATTTTTAATGTTTGTCAGGGACTCAAGTGGAATAGCATGACAGCTTTACTGTGCTAAGTCAGCTAATAAGTTAGCAGTGACTTGTTTGTGCTGCTGGTGGTAAAACATTGATTAGTCAGTTAACTGAGTGTGTAACTGTGTTTACGTTTACTACAGCTGAGGTAAATATGGCGTACAAGTAACTAAATATATCTCTTACAGCCAGGCAGTGTTAGCTTGAGCGAATTAGCTGACAGCAGCTGTCATCCAAGGTGTGACGAGGAGGAGAGTTAGCACCGAGCTAAGTGCATAAGTGTTTGTGGTTAGTTCTCTGATAAGTCTTTTATTGTTTTAGTCATTGTCTTGAGCAGTTAATGTTAGTTGGATTTACTTAAGTGACTCGAATTGGGCATAATCTAAAATTTCACCTTTCACCTGAGGTCCGAAAGCTGTGTGATGAATAACTTGATGAGGAATAATGTGCTTTATCTAGCCCAGTTTACTACCTGAGATAAAAGCCTGATTAAAAAGCACAGACTTGTAAATGGCAGTTGTGAGGGTTGGGCAAGTCTGAGGAGATTAAATATCACTGTGTTTGCTTTCATATTCAGGCTGTTGAACCAGTCATCAGGTAGACATATTGGGAATAAATCAAGTAAAATTCATTCATCTTCACGGAAGAAAGAAATAACTAAACTACCCCCGCTTTTACAACACAACACAATTCAAGATTTTATTTGTCACCTTACCTGTAAGGCGCTGAATGGATGAGTCTACGTGCTAACCTGGTGTTTACATTCCCTCTTTAAATGGCAAAATGATGCACAAAGGGACCCACTCTGTTCTATCAAAACTAAGATGCTGTTGTTATTAAACCTTCATAGCTTCTTCTTACAATGATTTTATTTCCACAGGCATGAACTGCACCTTGGAGAAGGTCCTGGCTGATGCCAAATCATTAGTGGAAAGGCTTCGTAACCATGACAACGCCGCTGAGATGTTAATCGAACAGACAACATCGCTCAACAAGCGAGTGGATGCCATGAAACAGGTACGGTGTCACATGATGTTAGTTAAAGATAAATGTTCTGCAAAATTTCAAAAAGCTAATAATAGACGGAGTGAAAATAAGTAGAAGGGATGTGATTAACTTTTAAAAGGCTTTGTTTCCTTTTTTGAAACATGTCTTGACTTGTGAAGCCAGCAGCAATAGAACCGCTGAAAAATCGTTGTTTAATGGCAGTTGGTTTGGTTATCTGTCATTGGCAGTACCAGGAGGAGATTGACTCATTGAACCAGGTCGCACGACATCGTCCCCGTTCTAGTCTGGTTCTGGGAATCCAACAAGAGAACCGCCAGATCAGAGACCTCCAGCAGGAAAACAAAGGTAGGCTCTTAATTTGATATTTAATGTTCATCTTGTTGTATGGCTGCTTTATCCACTTCAGAGGAAAAAACAGGACAAAGAAAATAGGCATTTGTTAAAGCCATCATCACCTGTTGGTCACAACCAGACCTTTTTATGGTGTATTTTTATAAAATAAGCGAGGTGTGGTTGCTTATAACAGCAAGGTGACATGAAGCTAACTTATGTTCTTGTAGGAGTTGTATGCAATATTGTGTCCTGCACAAACCAAGCCTGTGCTCACTCTTCCTGCAGAGCTACGGACGTCGTTGGAGGAACACCAGTCTGCGTTAGAGCTCATCATGACCAAATACAGGGAGCAGGTGTTCAGGCTCCTCATGGCCAGCAAGAGGGATGACCCCACCATCGTGACCCAGCTGAAGGAGCAGCACACCACGGTCAGTGAGGCACACCCTAACCCTTTAATAAAGAGTAAAAGGCACAAAAACACCAATAGAATGTTGCACTATTTTAAGCATTTTTAATACTGTATTTATTTACATACTTCTACAACCTTTTATTTATTGTTTTTCACCGTTTTCTAGGAAATGCAAGCACACATAGACAAGATCAATGAGATGGCCTCTGTGATGAGGAAGGCGATAGAGGTGGACGAGGGGCGGACATGTGAAGACGAGGAGAGGATTAAACAGCTAGAGGTAAAAGTCCTTCCCTGTTCAACATGTACTTCCAACCATTTCAAATACACAAGAGACCCCAAGGTAGGAAGCCAAGGTTACGGACTCTTGTCTGTGAACAGAAGTGACGAATCAAAACATGAGAAGAAAATCCTAGATAGCTTTTAGTGTCTTGCTACACTTTGATAGCTGTTGATTCTGGCTAGCTAAAATAACACATGGAATTCTAGTGAGAAATAGCAGCTATTGCAGAAGTAATAATGCTAATGTAGTGTATATGGTAACTTCCCCCTGGGATTATTAAAGTATTTCTGATTCTGATTCTGATATATGACGTCACCAAAACAGGTTTGCACAAGCTAAAATCATAGAAGCCCCCTCATCCTGGATAAACCAGACACTAGATGTCAGATATAGTATTGCATTAGTCCAAAATAATATGGCATAATATATGACATAACTCGTATTATTACTTTTTAAAACGCACCATAATGCACAAAAAGATGCTAGGGTGTAATTCAGAAATTGTGTCATCACATAACTTGTCCAGCAGAGTGCGCCCCAACCCATTATTTGCAGTACCGTGGAAGCAGCTCACTAATGGTTGAACAAAACTGACATTAAAAAGATACAGCATTAAGTGAGAAGCCTGAAAGTAACTAGTAGACCTTCTATTAGTGGTGGTATCATTTCTTCTGAATGTTTGGCTGTTTCTGTATTTTAGCTGGAGAACAGCGGACTCCGAGAGCTGCTGGGAATCAGTCGCGAGGCTTTCCTGATCCTGAAGAGAGAGGACGCATCAGAGAGCACGTCACTGTCGCCGCTGCTGACCAGCGCTGACGTCAGCTTACGGAAAAGTTAGAGAGCCCGTAGCGACTGCCCACCTCCCCCTACTGCTGCCACTACTGTGTACAGTGTGTACAGTCTGTTGCCACATACCACTAGACCTTTCACCCTGCAGATTCTTCCAACGATCGTCTCCCTTCCCCTGAAGCATTTACAGCATGATGGTCCAGAGCTGCATCCCCGACCGGTGATTCAAACACAAGCAGTGTGCACATACATCCTTCTCTCTTTTTGTTGTTTTTTTTGTTGTTGTTGGTACTTCTGTTATGTTTGCTTTTTTTTTTGCCAGCATGCATGAGTCTGTGGTGCCTGCAAGGTTTTAATGTGTGAATGGGTAAAAGAAGGGCTTGAGTTAAAATAAACCTGTAAACATGAAATAGTCTCTGCTGTGTTGATGTGGATTTAATTTTATTCTCAAGTGTGTGACACAGTGCAGATTCACATGGTTTTAGTTCTGCTTGGTTGGCCTGTGCGGGTACTCCACTTCTCCCTTTCACTCTTCATGTTATTGTGACACATCGTCATTAAAAGCTTAAAAGCAGGAATAGAAACATTATCCAACACACAGGATCTGCTGTCACATCCAGCTACCCCTTCTGTGCAAAAGTTACTTTGACCAAAAAAAAAGGGATTAGTTTTGAGCCATTATCTATTGCGTGTGTGTATTTCAATAATTTCAGTAAAGAAACATTTTCTGTAGAAATGTTAGAATTAGAATCAAGCATTTTTTAACTGCCTTTGAAATAATTTGTGTACAACGAGATTAAAGAGAGTTAGATGTTTGGAAAGACCTCCCACTCTGGTACTACCAAGATCCACAAACGTCCTTTTAAAGGACCCTTGTGTAGGATTTAGCGGTATAGCAATGATGTTCAATTCAGTTTTATTTGTCATTTTAATAACAAAAAGTTATGTCAGGACAGTTTTCTGAGAAGGTCTAGACCGTACTCCATATAAAATTATCTACAGAGACGCAACAGTTCCCACTTACAAAATAAGACTGCAACTAACTGCACACCGCTGGCGTCTGTATTTGACAACCTGGGAATGAGAACGGGCTGTGCAAACGTGCAAAAAACGCAAAAGGCCCTATCTACAGCTAGTTTTTTGTTTGTCCGTTCTGAGCTACTGTAGAAACATGGCAGTTCAACATGGCGGACTCTGTGGAAGGCGACCCGCGTCATCTGTAGATAAAAATGGCTCATTCTACAACAAAAACACAACAATTGTCTTATTCCAGTAATTATACACTCATGAAAACATCCTTATGCTATTATTATTATGTTCAGTTTCTGCCAATAGATCCACCTACATGTTACACACTGGACCTTTAAAGCCTATGTGGAGTTTACTTTGGAGTTTGCCATATATGGCATGGCATTACAGAAGGGAACTCACCAGTCATGAATAGACACCAAAACAAAGATCTAAACGAAGTAAGGGGCTGCTAGAAACTGTTTGTTTAATCAGATTAAGTTGTTAAACTGATTAGTGATTCATCTCGCTCACATTATCGATCTGAGTGACTGGAGGGGCCGTGGGGCGGGGAGCTATCGCGGGATCTAGGGCGCGATTCTCGCGGAGGCATCGTTCAGCCGTCAAGGCGGCAGAGGGAGAAGAAGGGTCTCATATACCCGCTCAGCTCAGTCAACGATGTTGCGTTTGCGTTTGCAGGGACCTCTAGTACTCAAACACAGGACACTGCCACTTTACCAATGATTGTACTGAGCGACGGAAAGAAGCGTGTTGTTTACCGGATAAACGAAGCGAAGGAAAATGTCTGGTTGTGTGAGGAGCCCGCTGCTGCTGCTGCTGCTGTTGTGTGGAGTTCAAGCGCAAGTAGAAAGTGAGTTACAGACAGCGATTTAATGTCCTCTCACGGTTCAGTCGTAGCTACAGTATTTATCTGTGTCATCTTTAAAACGGATAAGTATTGGGTTATGTTATCTGCTTCTGTAGGACAGCAGGGTGAAAGGTCGCTTTGTGATTCATTGATACTGTACTGTATGTAAATCACTTCAGTGTCATTGAGCTGAACTTGTTGTTAAAGCTAAGTTCAGCTAGCAGTGGAATATTTTCTCTCACACAGACACACAGTCCAGTTTATACATCCAAACCCCATTCAGCTCAGAGGGTTTATCTTTTACACATGTGTTAACGGTGTATGCTGATGTTGTGGGGTCATCATAGATAAGTTACATTCTAACTAAAATCTGTATAATATTCCTGTGATGTTTATATATGACAGTTTTGGATTCATATTTAGTAAACCTCCATCTAACATGTATTATAGTGTAACAACAGTGGCGTCAGATGAGCTGTTGACAGATTAAGTGCAATTCAGCATAGAAGAGTAAAAGAAAAGGGTAAAAGTTAAATAGAAAAATCTAAGTTAAGCTAACACTGTCATTTGGATTTTGACCTTTTAACCAACACAACCTGTGGATGCAAGAAATGGGGTAGTGAAACCAAATGGAGCGACAGTATTTACTCTGATCGGTAAATAAACAGCTCAATACCAGCAATAACAAGTTGAGACGACATAACAAGCAGACTCGATGCTCTACCATCTACCATCCCAGCTTCAAGACTCATCTAACCAACCACACAGAAACTTCTTTTGAATTTGATCCAGGATTTAGTGTTTCCATTCCTGATTTTCATTTTGTCAGGGTGGAAAAGCCTCAGAAATAGCCTCTGAAAAAGACATTATAAATTCATACAATAATAAAAAAATACCAAACAGTTAAGAGAGTAAGTAGGATGTGAAAAGATCGGAATAGATTCTCAGCATGTTTTTCTACAGTCCACATCGTACTGTAGATAGACACAGAGTGCTGGATATCCTATATTTGATAAAAAAGCTAATATGAGTACAGAATATTTATGTTTTAACCATGAAGGAACTTTATATTACGGTTTCTACCTCACTCTCTCGAGTCATATTTTCCTTCTTGTTCACATGTCAGATAATGTAGCAGGTCGCTCCTGAGCTGGAGTCTGACCTGCAAACAGTCCGTACGGATAAGACAGCGCGTGCAACTAATCCACAGATCTATACTTTTTATACTTGACATTCTTCCTCTCTGTATGAGAGACAAACACACACAAATACAAGACCACACATATGAGTCAGGCTGTATAGTGATTTTAAAAGGTCATAAGTCGTGTTGCAAATGAAGACGTCCAGCAAAAGCAGCTGTCAACTCTTTCTCAAACTGAAATGGCCCACTGACATCAGAGTTATCAATCAGAGTTGAGCTGGAGAATATCCTGCAGAGGATGGCTGCAGTGATAGTTGCAGTCATTGTGAAAGGTGCTGAGGTGGACTGTGTGTTTACTACCGACGGAGGTCTTTGCAATATTGTATTTCATATTTTAATTTCTTGGTCAAACCACACGTGCTTCTCAGGTCTAACAGGTTGCTGTTGCTGCGTAACCGTTTGAAGTGGTCACACAACAAATCAAGTATGGCTTTTCCTCTCAGATAAACCGTTACTTTAGAGGTAACACATCCATAGTGGATGAATTATTACTGTGTTATTAAAATAGAAAAGAAAAAAACGGCATTGACTGAGGCAGACGATCAGAGGAAGACGTGCTTTACTGGCCAGTCCAGATGTTTTCAGATACAAGTGGAAGATGGTGTTTGAAGGCATTTATTTACATATTTATTTACATACTGGTGACAGACATTATCTGCTGTTGTCAGTGTGGCTGCTGTGGAACAATGTTAGCGCTCCCCCTTCTGAGTTTTGGGAAGGTGGTGGGTAAAAAACAAACAGCATCCTGAATGTTAACGCGTTTCTCTCATCCTGAATGACAGCAAATCGATTCTAAAACTGTTACTGGCTAGCATTAATATATTCTTATGTTACAATGTATAGACTAATGCAGTTAAATGACATCGCTTCTGTCACACTGTAGTTTACAGTAGCCAGCCATCTGCCGCCCTGCTCTCTAAATATCAGCATCATTAGAAATGTCATACGGGGTCGACCCACCATTAATACATATTTAATAGTCTTTTTTTAACTGAACAGCTTAAATTAAAAGCTGACATGTTGCTTAAATGCCAGGAGCTTTGTAGGCCGGAAATGGACCATGTTACAGCAGCCATCAGTCACAGCCCACAGTCTGGATGTTGAAGACGTTTATACAGCAGTTCTTTCAGGCAGTTAAACACATTTCGATGGCATTCTTACTCAACACAGAGCGAACTTCTTCATTCAGCCTTTTCTGTACGATCCCTCTCTGGTGTGCTGCTGACCTGGTTTTAGGTCGCCTACTTGGCTTAGCACCAACCGTCTGTGATGTCTGAGAGTTTTATAGATTACTGCATGCGGCCTTGTGACCGCCACAGTCTGTCGTTGTTCTTCTCCACAGTAATTTGACTGAATTTAAGTTGACTGAAACAGGATAACGAACGTAATGTCTGTCATGTACATCCATAGGCTGAGGTAATGGTGTGACATTACTCTTGTAAACTTGGGAAGATCTTCAGAGAGAGAAATATTAACAGGAAAAAGCCTGCCCTGCAGTTAAGCTTGCGACCGTATGTGCACATGTATCTGGTTTTACTGTTTGCCTTTTAATTTCCTTTCCTTTTTTTCATGCAAGATTATTTTGTCATATGTTTTCGTGTATCATTTTGCCGGTGTATTGGATGCATATGGGTATGGAATGTGTTCCACTCACTGTCTTCAACCTCTGATACGGCGGAGGCTTCTTGCTGACCTTTAAATTGCGTTTTCTTAGTGTGTTCTTTATCTATTTATGTTTTTATTGTGATATTTAAGTCAATAAACAAATGAACTATCCCAATGATTTCCTAGCATGAAACAGTCGTTATCTCACCTTAAAAACACTGTCACAGATTCTAATCTCTTATTGGAAAATGGCAACAGTAATACATCCTGTGGCAGATTGGTTTATAGGCAGCACAACACAATCAATCTACTACAATACAAGCATGTGATTTATTGGAAATAAATCAGACTTTCCCCTCTCTGTCGCAGACCGGGTGATTTTCCTGCCGGGAACGTTCCAGAACGTGAGCGTCTCCCAGAATGAGACGGTGCAGGCCGTGGTGTCCAGGATCCCCCTTGAGGTGGCGTTCATCACTCTGCAGTTCCACACGCAGCACCGCAACGCCACGCTCTCCTACACCAGGGTGAGGAAGTAGACAGGCTACTATCTACTCTACTGGACACATGGTCCCTGTTTTAAGAAGGAGAACCGAGATTTGTGTGAGAGGATGTGGATAAATATTTACACAAAAAAAAGTTAAAGCGGATGTGTGGAAATAGTACAAAAATAAAGAACAGGAAGATGAGGATCTGTGATACAATAAATATATGTGTTTAATGCAAGGTAAAGTGATTCCAGTATGTTTTAGTGCCTTTATATATTAAGATTATTGCTATAATATCGTGTATTGCGATATTTCTGGACAAGATAATTGTGAGATGAAATGTTCATATCGCCCCATGCTTAGTCTGGAGGCTGATGGATTGTAATGGTAAAATGAAAGTCTACAGAAGTTCAGCTAAAATGTGATGACATTCATGGTGCCAGTAGCAGAGATGGCTGGTAAAGAGGACAACCCATGCTGCAGCTCATTGTTTTTAAGTAGCCCCGGCTTTCAGTCCTGTTCCCCCTAGCACTGGTCTTTCTGAGAGCACATACTGCCGTGAAACTGGAAGCCAAGGTGTTCATGTAACATAGCTAAAATGAGGGATAAACATAGTTTATACACTTTATTTTAGGCTGACACCAATGTCATGTCATGCTGATTAATACAGGCACAGACAAGCCTTTCTTCGTGTGTTCTTCATGTTACAGAGATTGCACCAGTACCCTTAACGTGGATTTATAGAGTAGAAGCAGTAAAGTTAGCGGGACTAAGACGAAAGCTCAGTGATGGTACGAGTTCAAGATGTATACTTTTCTGTTAAATCAGCAAATCAAATGCCTAATCATTATCTTGACTTAATTGAGCGATTCTGTCTTTGGCATGGAGTAGTAAGAACGCAAACTAAACGGTGAAATCAAAGGTATGCTTCATGCTGTAGGAGCAGGCAGTTAGTTCTACCTCCCAGTCTAATGAATGAGTCTTTGTGAGCGAGGTCGGCTGACCCGCTGAGAGAAGTGGCAGTCAGCTGATGTACAGTCCACCGGTCATGAGCGGCAGACGGGGCGGCCCTCGAAGGAAAACCTCCTGGCGTCAGTCCCAGAAGTCTCAAGGGGGGACAGCTCGGTTTGGATCCACGCTGCGCAGACGGGGCAGATAGCCTGATTTAGTTCAGCTCTGTTTTTGCTGGTGATGGAAACGGCGGGAAGCAAGAGAAAGGAAAACAAATCCATGTGAGTTTCTCAGTGGCAGTAAATCTCTCCTCAAAAGAGAAAGGGGGAAAAAAAAACAACAACTCTGCTCATCATCACTAAAACCAAACGACCAAACCTGCACAGGAAATTCACAGAAAAAAGAGGAAGTGTGTTTTCAGAGAGGGGTTAATATACAGTGCACACTACACTCTTCAGTTTCCTTTATATTGTTATCTCTCCTTCACTGATTTCCTTTTTCTCTTTATTTTTATCACTCACACTCTGTAAACCACAAGATCCCTTTTTATGTTTGTTTTTATTTATTTTGTCTTTCAGTGTGAATGCTGTCCATTTACTGAACTGTTAACAAACCACATGTATAAAACCAGACTTCAGCATCTTTAAAGTGGAACTTGGTTACTTTTATGAACCCACAATATGCTCGGTTGAATCACTGTCGTGTGTGTGTTAAGCTGTAAATATTTTACACACTTGTGATTACACTGGTTTGCCGTTCCTCTACTTCAGATAAATTCAGTGCAAACCACGTCCAATGGAGTATCTCTACCAACTCCAGCACAGTCCGAACAACACGAGTGTCACACAATGGAGTTGTTGTAGGAGCAGACGGACTGATGCCTCCAGAGCCGTCACACAACAGTAATTCAGCATTAGCTCGCTGAGAAATATGTGGCAAAATATATACAGCTTGTCCCCTGGAAATGATACCTTGGTACCAGGCCTAAGTGTAATTTGTTAACCATTTAGTGCAGCAGTTATACCACAGCCTCATTGCCCTGGGTTTGAATCTGAGCTGCAGGAGGCACACAGGTGACAACTTGGTCAAATATTTCCATGGAAAGCAAAATACAAAAGGTGTTGATATCCCGACAGGTGATCTCTGTAATGAGGAACGTGTAACAACGAGAACAAAAAAACTTCATTGTGTTCTTTTGACCTAGTGGTGGTACATGTTGATCAAATTGGATTTTGTTTTACTTAGTAATTTTTTCCATGTGGTAACACACATCCTATTGTTGTTAGCCAAATAGTTCATGTGAACTGGCAGTTTATCAGTTCAGGATGTGGTGGTCTGTGTGACACTTCAATGTTTGACTCATTCCGCTGTCAAGAACACACACATTTGGTTGAATTTGAAAAATGAATTTTTCATAGTTATTTAAATATGAATACTCCATGGCCAATTTAATACCACATTACAGGTCTTTAAAGGAGAAGAATGAGGTTATTCTATATTATTCTTATTCTTAGTCAAAAAATCTCAGTGCTTTACAACCACCACCAAGATATAAATCCTTAAAAACGTGTCACAAATATATAGTTTCATATTTTTTTAAGGAAAAATAGTTGACTAAAGCAGCTGGGCAGTGTAGTTTTTAGCAAACGTTACTCAAACAGGAGTAGATAGTGCTTTTCAGCCTTGGATCTTGGCAATGAACTACAGTGCCCATCAGACTTTGGTTTCACACACATCATTGTTAGTTTTGGTCTTTTCATGGGATTTATTGGCTATAATAAAGCCACTGAATATCACCAGACTTCTCATCTGAAGTAGAGCTATCTGTGAACCCCCTGGGCTTATTTGAACCTCCTCCGTGCTCTGCCTGTAAGTTCAGTTTAATTGCACAAGTTGTTCAGCAGCTAATACAATCGGTTCATAAGAAGATTCTAGGTATTTTAGAGAGCGTGTTTCTAGCGAAGGACTAGGGTCGAGCTCCAAACAGACACAAGCATTTTATTGACCTTTTGGTGGCGAGCAGTCTCATGAGCCTCATCATAAGCTCAGCTGTTTGAATATCTGACTGCTTTAAGAGACTGCAGAGAATCATAATCCTAATATGTACGGCTGGTTAATAACACCGTAATCCATGAAACAAAGAACCAAGTGTGTTGTGATGTTTTCAGAGGAGAAAATATTTATTATTGCTGGCAGAGGATTGTCTCATACTGTCTGTGTTTTCTGTCGTCTCTCACTTCCCGCTGTGGAGTTTAGGCATCCATCTACATTTAGGGGACACATCTGGAGATTGTTTTGTTCTTTACTCTTTAAGAACGGTGACGATGTGTAACAAAACCTGTATTGTAGTGACGCTGTTTCAAGTCGTCACTTTGCTGTTAAAACTAATCTTCTTTAGTCCGAATGTATGTGGGTTTCATTCCATACTGGACTGATAGAAGGTTGCGGGTCATTGGGTTTTTAGCCAGTGGTTGTCCACCATTTTTGTTCAGAAATATCTCAACAACTTAAGCATCGATCGCCACGGAATTATGTACAGATATTCGTGGTCCCCAGAAGAAGAAGCCTAGTGAGATTGATGAGGACTTCTCCTCTAGCACCACCAGGACATTTGTGGTTTTGAGTGAAATGCAACAACTATTGAATGGATTGCCATAAAGTCTGTTACATTCAGGCCCCCCATCAGGACGAATCATAATGTGTTTGGTGATCCCTTCGTTCCTCATCCTGCGCCATCATCAAAGTTTCACTTTGTCCAAGACTTTGGTTTATGATAAAAAATCTTGCAAAACAAATGACATTCCCATCAGCCTGTACTTTGAGTTTAGTGCTAATTAGCAAATGTTTAAAACAAAAAAGCTAAGATGTACATAAAAAATTAAATTAGCATTGCCATTTGGAGCATGCTAGCATGCTAACGTTACTCTCAAAGCAGCCAACACTGTGCCTGAATACAGCCTCCCAGAGCTGCTAGCATCGCTGTGGACTTATTTTGCTTAAATTGCGATCATGCTGTTTATTTGCTGTTGCATATTGTTTGTGCTGACAAGATGATGTTTGTGTTTGGTTCAGATGCCGGGCCTGGGTCTCTCTCTGACGGCAGTGGACTCGGGGCTGCTGTCGGCTCTCCTGCCGGGCCAAGCCTCCCTCTCCCTGTTCCTGTCTTCTCCTGACGGTGAAACAGTGGCGGGCACCGGGGTCATCCTCCCGTACTCCAGCACCGGTACTTCCTCTCAAACAGTCTACTGGGCAATAATGTCATGCCGTTACAAAACATGTCAGTGTGCTTCTCCTCTGATTTGTTTTGCACAAGAACACAAGGAAGTTGCAGCTACCGTTCATGAAAACTTGTTTCTGCAAACTACAGCAGCAGCTCTCACCGCAGGATTAAAAAATAACTCAGTTCATCGTGATTACGGCTCACTCATGCACACCATGACTGGCATTGATTGTGCACGCTTGCTCATATGCCTTTCAACGTGTTGAAACACCCTTACAGCAAGTCATCCTGACACGGCAGGGTGCCACTAAGCCTCAAGGGAATGTTTTTTTATGTCCTCTGTGGGCCTGATACAGTATCTAATATCAAATGTGTTCTCTTTTAGACCCGGTCCCTGGAGCCTGTAACATGGAGTTCAACCTGGACATTGACCCGAATGTCTATATCCACTACAATCTCTATGAGACAACAATCCGTTTTGCACCAGCAAACTTAGGATATGAGAGGTAACGCACCAGACTCGCTGGCACAGTCTGCTCGACTTCCTGTTCAGCCTGTTCAGCTGTAGGCAGCGGCAACTCGTCTGCCAGGACCCGTCGTCAAACCGCCTCACTGTTTACTTGCACTGAAATCTGCCTCTCACACACACAGACACACACACCCTCCCCGCCTCCTCCTCCGCTGTGGCTGATATTACTCGCTTCGTTTTCTCAAGAATGTGTGTTATGTGTCAAAGCCATCAGAGCACATAAAGGATTTGTTAGCTTGTTCAGTCAGGTTTGGTTTGTGCATGTTTGCCTGTTGCTGTTTTGGCTACAAGGAATATCTTGTGTGATGCTAACGATGTGGAGATGGAGAGTTATTCTCCTCTGGGGGAATTACTAGTTGTCGGACAGTTAATCGTTGTTTTGTGGAATATTTGGAAATTCCAAACGGCCTGCATAAAATGTGGCAAATTTAGTTTTCAGCTCATTGGCAACATTGGTTTGGACAAACACTAGTGGCTTTGTTGACTGCCTTTGGTTGACCCATGTCAGTTAAAACTGGACTTGTCTAACTTGCCTGACTGGTGGAAGGTATTATTATAGCATCACATCTACCACGCTTTCTGATTACACACTGTACATTCCTCTAGTTGTCATAGTAAACTGTTTTTGCAGCTACTATCTAAGAAATCAAACTAGTTTCCTTTTTCTGCGCAGGAAACAGGAAATGAAGCAATAGGTGCTGCAACCATGAATATATTATAAGAACTGGTCCAGAATGGGGCGCCCAGTTAGCTGCTAGTGCGGAGAGGTAAGCCTGGCGACCATGTACCGAGGCTGAGTCCCTTGCTGGCAGCGGGTCAGGGTTCGAACATCCGACCTGCGGCCCTTTGCTTGGCGTGTCATCCCCTCTCCTCGGTTGCTCCCCTTTTTGCCTGTCCTGTCTCTCCAAAAACCAAACTATTTCTTTCTCAGTTTTTGAGCTGTGTGAATTCTTAGAATTAGTTTCTAGTATGGAACTGGGACACAGCTTATGTCCCACAATGCAACACACAAAGTAAAAGAGTTTAAACAATTTGTGGAGAAGGGTGGTGCAAGAACATTTTTTAAAACCAAAAATAAAGCATGAAATCTTTGAAGTACTTCACTTTCTCTCCTGGCAGCAGTCTGATTGTCAGGTGTTCATTCATTGGCACATGTCTTCTTGCATCATTTCCAATATTCATTTTGTATACTATCTGCCCCAGAAAAGTCTGCTATGCAGATTAGCACAGTGTAAAGGCACAGTCAACGATTCAACGTTTAAAACTCAGGACTGAGTCTAAACCAGACTCCTGTCTCACAAAGTTTTAACGCCTTCCCCTACAGCGGATGCATGTATGAAGGTTGTATACCGAGTAGTCCTCAGTTATATAAGACTGCCGTCACAGCCAAATCTCTGCTTGTCAACATTTACACACTCATTTCACACTACAAACCGATAAACCACAGAATTATAAAGAATGACCTGACATAAGTACCTTGTTACCTTGTTGTTATGACATTGAAGTTTCACTTTTACTGTCTTCACACTCATTCTCACAGCCTTTGTTCAGTGTGTGGGTTAAACAACATTTAAACATAAATGTCATTAAACGAAGTTTCCACGCATATTAGAGGCACTTCACCAAAGTTCACCAAAGCGTGGACTATTGTATTATAAACTGCTAAAGCTCAAGTGCACCTGAGCTCATTTCCATCACACTGGAGCAGAAGCTCAGACAGAAACACACAGAACTGAAGCCAACATCACTGACTGTCCTCGATCTCCATCAGGGGAGCAGCTCCTCCGGTGTGCGACCAGTCGACAGAAGGCAACACGCGCTGGCGGCTTCAGTATGACGTCTACCAGTACTTCCTGCCTGAGAACGACCTATCAGAGCGCAGCCTGTTCATCGCCATCCAGACCGTGGCCGACGTCCAGGGCATGATGCAGAACGGCAAGCGGGTGGGGCACCAAGAATGTGTATTTTTTGGAGCGCTT